GGAGGAGGAGGAGGAGGAGCAGCAGGAGGGGGCGGCGCTGCGGGGCGGAGCGGGCGGCCCGGGCCGTGGCCTGTCTCGCGGCGTCGGGTCACGTCGGGCGGGGCCAGGACGAGGATCAGTCCGTTCTGGAGCGTTCGGGGACGCTCTCAGAGCGTTCTGGATAGGCGTCCTCCTGAGTCGCTGAACCTCAGAGACCTCCGATTCATCCTCACCCGACGTTATCCTCGTCCTGGCTTCGTCCCCGGGGGAGGACCTGCACCCCATCCTCGGCTACGGGACGGACAAGGGCGCCGAGAAGTTCGTGGTCTGCCTTCAGGCCGCCGCTGCACATCGCCCGTCGTTCGTCTGTCTGCCCGCCCCTGGCCCCCCGCATGGGAGCGCCAGGGAGGAGGCGCCATCCCCCAGGCCCCCTTGTGGAGCAGCTGGCGAGGCAAGGGGAGGGGGTGCGCTGTCCGGGGAGGGGATCATGGGGGAGGGAGGGGGGAGGAGGAGCATTGGGAATAGCAGAAGAAGGGGGGAGAAGAAGAAGGTAAGGGAGGGGGAGGAGAAGGAGGAGAAATGCACGGAGGAGGAGGAGGAGGAGTTGGAGGGAGGATCGCGTGGAGGCTCCTCAGCTCATCCTCCCGTCTCCCTCCGTCCGTTCTGATTCACGGGGGGCGGGGGTGGGAGTGTCGGGCCGGGCGGCAGGCTGGAGGGGGTGCCCTGAGACGGCCGCTTCTCAGGAGGGGAAAAAACACAGGCACAATTAATCGTCGATCCCCCCCCCAAAAAAAGGGAAAATATGGGAATTGGGCGGGAAGACAAAAACCCAGAAAATATTGGAAGATCTGGGGAATATGTTTATTTGTGTGTGTGTTTATGTGTGTGTTCTTGGGCCCTTCAGTTTCTGTGTGGAGGCAGCTAGCATGTGCCCTCACTGCCCTATCGTGCTGCTGCGATCGACCAGGGAAGATCGGAGGGACATGCTCGCCGCGCGGCGTGCAGCGCGGTGGCGGGTGGCCTGGACGGAGCCCCCGCCCCGCAGGCTTCGGGAGGCGAGGCGGCCAAGAGGGGGGTGAATGACTCGGGGGGGTATGTCATTGATGGCGAGGGCCACGATATCTCCTCAGACTTCATGATGCCTTTTCCTATTTCAACACGTCCTTCCCGCACCCCTTGGGCCGCACACGTGCTGCCGGCCATATGTGTGCCCCCCCTCTTGGACGCCCGCGCAAGATGGTCTTCAGTGCCAGCCGATGCTGTGGCCCTCGGGCTGGCATGCAGCAAGGGGACTTGCAGCCCCTCCCGGCCCAGGTGATGGGAGCTCACGTTTGCACGGGCGGGACGCGAGGGGGAGGATTGGTTCGAGGAGGCGCAGACATGGATTCAGGCGCGTGGGCTAGCCACGAGCTGCATTTCGGTATCGGTTCGGCGCGCGGGGTCGCCATATGAGGCTGCATTGGCCTCATGTTTCGGAGAGGGGGGTACTTTCCCGATCTGTGGATTTGCCGCCCACGCGCCATAACCACGGATCTGTAACAATGCTAGCGCGTTCCCGAATAGTCAGGAAGGAGCAGGTGAGGGGGAGGACGCGGGAGACACAAACGGGAGAGGAGGACGGTAACACGAACGATTTGCAGGATGCGTTGACGGCCTTTGCTGTCGGAGGCGGGCGCTTCGGGTCAGAGGAGGGCATCGTCGTGCTCGTGCTCTCTTCTCTCTTGCTCGAGCTCCCGGAGAGGAGGGGACGAGGAGGGATCGGGAGCCTTGAGACGGGGGTCAATGCAAACGGGGGTCATCCAGGGCACCAGATCCTGCAGGATCCTGCGAAGACCCCCTCTGACTGACTCGGGTTAGCGAGCCGCTCGTGGCCGCGAGGCGGCCGCGCATATTGGCTGACCCGGGTTTGCGAAGACCTGCGCTGCAGTTGTTTTTCCTGCATTGCAGTTTTTGGCTTCCTGCTGACCCGGGTCTGGATTGACCTGCTCCCCGAACGAGGAAGGATGCTCTCTTTTTTTTTTTGTTCTCTCTCTCTCTCTCTCTCCCCCGACGGGAGAGGAGGGTGGGAAGGAGGGGGCGAATGAAGGCTCCCCGTCGACGGGACCAGACAGACACCCCGCACACGCCGACAGGGTCGGTGGATTCCTCCTCCGACGCAGGCGCCGCCGAAGGGGTCAACGCGGGAGCGCGGCCTCGTCGAGGCCTCGGGGCCTCCCGGGCCCGCGAAGGGGGGTCAGGGAGGCAAGAGGTCATGATACACGCCGGTCGTTGAAAGTAGGTATTTTTTTGGATGCCCAAATCCTAAGATACTTTAGGCGCCTGCCTACTTCCAGAGTCGAGCGGTGTTCCTTCTTTCCTCCTCTTCAGGGGGCAGGCGGAAGTCCAATCTACTTCCAGCGCCTTCCTACTTTATGTTTCTGCCCACTTCTTCCGACCGGCGTGCACCGATCAGCTCCAAGGCTTCTTGGGCTCCCAGGATCCCCTAGATGACCGAATGTCCCACAGGGGCGGGCAAATCCTGGAACGCATGCACTCTTTGGCATCATTCTCTCGGCGGCGCCCCAACGTACTAGTACTATGCGTGCGTCGCTCCCCCAGGGGCGACCGCGCGCACCGAGAGATCTCACCGCTCAGGAAGCGATACATATGCACACACATATATATATATATATATATATATATATACAAGATGGGTATACGAGATGTTCGGGTCGGTCTCGCGCCTCCGAGGAGCACATATACCCATCGGTCGTTGATTGTAGGTATTTTTTGGAACTCCAGGTTTCAATCTGCTTTCCGCGCCTTCCTACTTCAATAATCGAGTGGCGTCACCTTTGCCGCAGTCCTCTTTAGGGAGCGGGCGGACACCCAGTCTAGTTTTTAACGCCTTCCTACTTCATGTTTCTACCTACTTCTACCGACCGATGGGTAGCAGGAGGGGGAACCACCGCTCTGGCCTTGGGGAGCAGGAGCAGGACGAGGAGGAGGAAACCTTGTAGAATGAGGAAGAGGAGGAGGAGGAGGAGGAGGAGGAGGAGGAGGAGGAGGAGGAGGAGGAGGAGGAGGAGCAGGAGCAGGAGCAGGAGCAGGAGCAGGAGCAAGAGCAGGAGGAGTGTGCCTCTCTGCGTCCCACTCTCCCCCCGTCCGGGGGGCACCGCCGCCCTGGCCCTGGGGAGCACCGGTCGAGGCGGCGCCGGACCACACGACGCTCCGCGGCCTGCGGTTCACGCCGCAGAGGCGCGCCGCGGGGCCTCGGCGGGTTCTGCGGCGCCCCGGCGCCCTCGGGCCCCTTTCAGAGCCCCCACATCATCAGGGGTAACTCGGGTCAGGGCTAACTCGGGTTCGTTTCTGGGGAGTCCGAACCCGACTTACCCCGGACCCGAGTTGCCCCGGATGATTCGGGCGTCCAGAGCCCCACATCATCAGGGGTGACTCGGGTCAGGGCTAACTCGGGTTCCTTTCTCGGGAATCCAAACCCGAGTTACCCCGGACCCGAGTTACCCCGGATAACTCGGGCGCCCAACCCTTGTCCTTGAGACAGTTGTCGGGGGCGGAAAAGAGGGGGGTGATGACTAGGGGGGGGGGATATCGTGGCGGGGGCCATGATGTTTCCCCAGATGTCATGGCGCCTCTTCTCATTTCATTACGTCCCTGGCCCCCCCGCTGGGCCGCGCACATGCCGCCGGTCATGATTTGGACCCCCCCCTCTCTTGGACACCCCCCTCTTGCCCGCTCCCGAAGTTGGTTGTATCCCCTGGTGATAACATGCGTGACCCCGGGGGGGATCAGAGGAGGAGAAGGTACCCATGCTGCTACCCTTCCCTCGCTTTCGCCTGTTTGGGCCTCCTGGGTGGCCCTCGTCGCCACCGCTGGATTCGCTTCGAAATTCTGGTCAGAACGCACCCCAGAAGAGGTCTGGGGAGTAGTGGTATCGGTACCGTTTCCCCATACAAGGGCCCTGAAGGGCCCTTAGATTGCAACCACGGGCCCTACAGTGCCCCCCCCCGTGTTATTGGGAAGGCCTTGCGGCCAGTGCCGCCGACACCGAAGGGGGACGATGACGACGACGTCGGCGTCGGCGGCGACGACGACGCTGACGTGGGGCAGAGTCCTCAGGCATGCTTCGTGGAGCCTCGTCGGAGCGCGCTCGTAGGCCTCTGGGGGCGGCTTGGGAGGCTCTTGGGAGCATCGTTGGGGCCTCTTGGCTTGAGGTTTCTTCTGGTCAGAACGCACTCCAGGACAGGTATGGGGAGTAGCGGTATGGGTACCTTTTGGTTTCCCCAGGGGAGAGGGGGGGGGCGGACTGGTCACATCACGATTCGCGTGTGCGCCGTCTGGGGATACTTGAGAGCGGCTCGTTCCCAGACGGCGCTTGTGCGAAGCTTGATTCGACCAGGGGGTGCGGGCAATCTGTGCACCACTGAACGCATCTGCACATGCAGAGCAATTCATCGTGCCCTGTGGGTAATTCGATGTTGCGGCTAGTCTCATAGTACGTCCCCAAACGAACCGCTGAGGCCTCTGGCCACGCCACGGGCCAGCTGCAGAGATCCGAGGGGGGTGGCGAAGCCGGCCAAGGGCGTCGTTCAGTTTTTGGACTCCAGGGGCGTCCGCCGGACCCCCCCGGCTGCCCAGCGTCGACTCGGCATGAGAAGCCAGCCCGTGGCAGGCGGGTCGCGAAGGGGTCGGGACTTCTCCGGTCACCCCGTGTTGACAAGGGCGGGTGCCCATTTCTTTTCAGGGGGACCGTCGATCAGGGGGTGATTTGGGTTCCGAGTGGGGTGCATCGACCTTCTCGCTTCCGATGGGCCTCGGAGGCCTCGTGGTGGCCCCAAGACGGCCGCAGAGGGCCCCGAGAAGGGCCCAACGCGCCCCCAGAGGGCCCCAAGAGCCCCCAAGACCGACTCAAGAGGAACCCAAGACGCAATGCTCGAGTCTCCGAGGGGAGGGGGGCTGAAATTCTGGCCCCCGTCCTCCCAGGACCATGCAGATTCGCTGTCGGGGGCCTATCGCCGATCCATCGGCGACATATCGCCGATGACAAGTTGATGTTCTCATACCGTGAGCTGGTCCCTCCCCAATGCTTTTCCTCAGTGTCCTCGGGCCCCACCCCAAGCTTCTGGGAGTCGTCGTCGTCGTCCTGTTCTTCCTCGTCCCCCTCCTCCCCTTCCCCTCCTCGCACTCCTTCTCGTTCTCATCGCCCCCGTTCCCGTCCTCCCTGTGCTGCCAGAGGTGGCGCGTGTCCACGGCGCGCGCCACGACCTCGACGAAGACGACGAAGATGGCGCGAGGACGTCGACGATGCCGACGAGGATGCCGATGACGACGGCGTCGTTTTGAAGGTGATTGGATGGGGTGTCTGGGCGGGTGCAGGAGGAGGAGGAGGAGGAGGAGGGGGAGGGGGAGGGGGACGGAGGAGGAGGAGGAGGAGGAGGAGGAGGAGGAGGAGGAGGAGGAGGAGGAGGAGGAGGTGGCGACGCCGGTCGTCGTTTTGGGGGGCTCCATCGGGCGCCTCCGGGGCTCTCCGTCGCCGCCGCGTCGGGAGGCAGCCTCGGAGGGCTGGCCAGGGGCGGAGCCCCTGGGAGTGGCCTGAGGGAGCCAGCTCCGAGGGCCCTGCGGGCCCCGAGGGTGCCTCCTCCTCCTCCTCCTCTCCTCCCTACTCTCCTCCTCCTCCTCCTCCTCCTCCTCCTCCTCCTCCCCCTGCCTCCTCCTCCCTCCTCCTCCCTCTCCTCCTCCTCCTCCTCCTCCTCCTCCTTCCTCCTCCGCCTCCTTCCTCCTCCTCCTCCCCCGATGCCTCCTCCTCCTCTCCTCCTCATCCTCCCTCCTCCTCCTGGCGGGGGGGCTCTGGGGAGGGCCCGCGACTCGCGGCGCGAGCAGCGGCACCCGGCGGGCCCGCCGATAGAGAGAGCAGCCCGGGGTGATGGGCCAATGTTCCACCGCCACCATCACAGGCAGGGCGGGGGGGGAAGGGAGGATAGGGGAGACTCTCCTCCTCCTCCTCCTCCTCCTCCTCCTCCTCCTCCTCCTCCTCCTCCTCCTCCTCCTCCTCCTCCTCCTCCTCCTCCCACCCCCAGACGGTCCAACCTCCTCCTCCTCCTCCCTCACCTACCTCGGGTAGTGGTGTTTGACGATCGGCCCATCATGGTGGAGTTTCGGGAGGGTTTAGGGTTCGGAGGCTTCGGAGAGTTTAGGCCTTCCAGATGGGGTCGGAGTAGATGGGGTCAGAGGATCGCGCCGATGCATCGGCGCTGCATCGGCGAGGCGGCTCGATGTGGAGCCCGATTTCCTGCATGTCGACGTCGCCGATGCATCGGCGATACATCGGCGATGCGGTGCAATTCTCCGACCCCATCTACTCGGACCCCATCTAGAAGGCCTCTAGAGATCGCCATCTTGAATATCTGCCCTCTTGAATCTTTCGGCTTCGCAGCAGCCCGGATTCTTCACGATCTGCTTGGCCCGAGCGAGCCAGGTCACCCAGCCATCTTGCGGCGGTCTAGACATATTTGGCACCATACGCGTGGTCAGCCGGCTGCCCAGCAATATCGGGAGCAGGCGGATTGTCCAGATCTTCCAGAGGAGGCTTCATTACAAGGCCAAGGCCTCAGTTGGCCAAGCTGACAGGAGAAGTTCCGCGCAGGTGTGCACACAATGAATGTGGTCTGCCATGTTGATCTGTTGTGAGGGCTTGTCGTAGAACAAAAGAGCTCAGAGGGCCCCTGCGCTCTCATAAGGCCACCCCCCTCCCCCCAGCCCCTCCTCTCTGCCAAGGAGGCGCAGGTGAGCAGCGTAGGGTTGCCCCAAGAGAGCCCTGACTACTGTAAGCGGTCATGTCGTCGCGGGGGCCAACACGAGCCCTTCTGCCTCTCGCCCTCCTCGTCCTCGTCCTCCTGGGGGCCTGGGGGGCGCCTCGCTGTCTGATTGCTGGTCGATCCTATGGATCGACCTTGGCTTGTGCATTGATCGGGTGTCGTTGTTTCTTGACCTTTGCGCGACGAGGACAACGCAATCGTCTGCGCCGACATTGGCGCGTCAGTTTCCCGCGTAAGGTCGCGCGTATCGCTTCCAATGTGGTGTGCCGCGCTGGTGGAACGCGCAAGCCACCGCGCAAGATCGCTATGCCATCTCGCGTCATACCCGTTCGGATCGTCGCTCATGTGTCGTGTTCGGGGTCTCCGGGGACGCCCTCGTCGCCATGGCTAGATTCGCATCGAAATTCAGGAAAAAAATCACGTGATCCAGTTGCTGTCTGGAGGTCGATGGCGAGGACCCACGTATCCGACCCCATGGTTGCTCCAATCCCAGGGCCTCCCGACACTTCGGCCTCCAGGGGCCGTCTTCAGGGCCTCGGGACTGACAAACAGCTGTCCAGGGTGCAGGACCTGCCATTGAAGCCTTCGGCGGAGCTCCCCATGGGGCCACGAAGCGCGTGAGGGGTTCGCCAAATTGCGGAGGGGCCTCCATGTGAACCCTGCCGCTGGGGTTTTCGGCGGAGCTCCTTGCGGGGCCACGAAGCGTGCGAGGGGTGTGCCGACATGGGGCGGGGCCGCCATGCGAACCCTGCCAGAGGGGCCTGCGTTGGAGCTGCCTACGGGGCCACGCACCGTGTGAGGGGGTGTGCGCGCCGACATGAACTTGCGGAGGGCGGGAGCAGGGATGGGAGGAGTGAGGGGGGGGGCAGCGGGAGGAGGAGGAAGCAAGGAGCGGGGTGATATCTCTTCAAAACGAGGGCACAACACCACAGGACGGCTGGAGAAAAAAAAAAAAAAAAACGATCCCTGCAAGGTCGGGCACTTTGGGGCCCGGTCTCGAGCCCAAGGACACTCAAAAAGCTACACCGAGGACGGTCCAAGGACGGGCCCAAGAGCACTGGGGACCCAAGTCGTGAGCGAACCCCAACGCGAATGGAACTTGGTTGGGGCGGCAGTGGCGCACAGCGCAGACGATTCTTTCTCCCTTGCTTTCCGCATCAATCTAAGTCAAGAGGCGTGCCAATTGCCAGTCCAGGATCCCAAGACCTAGCAGATCACACTCAGCAAAAGAGTATGGCGCGTGCAGCGTTCTGCTGAGATCTTTGCGAGTTGTCACTCTTCAGGTCATGCTCACCCGCCGACTCAGCCTCGATATCTCTTCCCTCCTGCTCCTCCTGGTGTGGGTGCGTGAGACATGCTCGTATCCTCGGCCTCGCGGTCTGGACTCCTCGGCCGGTCGCGGCCCAACGGACACACGGCGGCTTCGTGCGGAGGACCAGCGCGGAGCTGATCCATCGGATCCCAACCCTTGGCATCGCTCGGACGTGTGCATTTTTCCTTCGGCGAGAACCATCGAGCATTCGGCGAAAAAAACACGCACGAAACCGAAAAAAAACACAGGGAGTGGACGTCCGAGCGATGCCCAGACCTCGGGTATCCTGTCCCCGAGGGCATGGGTATGGACATGTCTGTCGCTCGTTCCTCCTCGAGTTGCTCTGTGCCCCACGTCCAACGTGGCTCAGGCCCCTTGGGCCGAAGCTGGGCCCCAGATCCCGACGCTGCCCGGCCCTGCGGGTGTCCGCCGCGGCACCCGCCCACAGAGATGGGGATGCTGAATCGGCAGGGCGCGCCGCTGCGGCAGCGGCTCCAGACGTCCCGGTGGACCTCGGTCGGCATCTGCGCCTTCGTGCTCCTGGGGCACGCCAGGTGGCCTCCCCCATCTCCTCCTCCTCCTCACTCCTCACTCCTCCTCCTCCTCCTCCTCCTCCTCCTCCTCCTCCTCCTCCTCCCTCCTCCTCCTCCTCCTCCTCCTCCTCCTCCTCCTCCTCCTCCTCCTCCTCCTCCTCCTCCAGGCCTCTGTGGGTCCCCATCGTTGCCACGGCCTGGGCGCGGCTCGGCGAACAGGCCCGGAGGGCGCCTGGGCCAGGGGCACGTCTTGATCGGAGCTCGGGCCAGGGCGCCGGGCGCCGCTCGGGGAGCGCCACCTGTGCGCCTGCGCCCAGCCTGGCAGGGCCAGTAGGGGGCCCCCGGAGGGGGGCGTGCGCACGCACCGCTCCTGGGCCCAGGAGGGCCCGTGCAGGCTGGACGGCAGGTTTCGAGGCCATCAGACGGCAGCCTATGAGGAGGGGGAGGAGGAGGAGGAGGAGGAGGAGGAGGAGGAGGAGGAGGAGGAGGAGGAGGAGGAGGAGGAGGAGGAGGAAGGAGAGGAGGAGAAGGAGCATAAAGAGAGAGGACAATAAGGAAGCGGAGGAGGAGGAGGAGGAGGAGGAGGAGGGCAGGCATCGGTTGGGCGCCGTCCTACCAGGCGCTGGGCGACTGAAGACGCGGCCGAGGACGAGCACCAGGCCAGTTCCGCTCCGGAGGCCCCGTTGAGGCGGCTGCGAGAGGCAGCTGGCGGCTCGAGTGTCGGCGACAAGTACCCGCCCGACCTGGTCCTCACCAAGCCCTACAGGGACGATCCCAACCGGTGGCTGGTGATCCTGCATGTCATAGGCATCGGGTATATGCTGCTCGGCCTGAACACGGTCTGCGACGTATACTTCACGGGGGCCCTGGAGGAAATGGTCGAGAACTGGGATGTGCAGGACGACGTCGCGGGCGCAACCTTCATGGCTGCAGGCGGCTCAGCACCCGAGTTCTTCACTGCGCTCATCGGCACGACCATTGTGGAGAACGACGTAGGATTTGGAACGATCGTGGGGTCTGCCGTGTTCAACGTTCTGTTCGTCATCGGCCTCTGTGGCTGGGTGGCGCCCACCGCGATGGAACTGACCTGGTGGCCGCTCTTCAGGGACTGTTCCTACTATCCCGGTTGCTTGCAGCACGTTCCGGCAGCGTGCCAGCAGCGCAGCATTCTGTATGGCGACCCGTCTTGGAGTGCCACGAAGGCCGTATGCAGCATGGGACCCATGCCGATTCTGTCGATGCGAATCGATTCAATGTCGAGGCTTACATGTCGATTCGATTCGAATCTTGATTCTGAGTTCGTTAATTTCTTCGAGTATGCCTCGGTTTGGGCTGGGTTTTCGATGCTTCCCGATCTGCCGACCGATGTTCTACCGATTCGATGTGTTCCGATGTCCAATTCGATTGTCCGATTCGATTTGTATCGTTCAAGTAGCATGTTTTGGGTGCCTTCCATGGATACCAGTATGTTCAGGCGCTCTTCCGAAGGCTCTCGAGGCCGTACATGTGTTTGTTGTCTTGGCCAGGTTTCAGTAAGCCGTACCATGTGGCGTCTCGCTTCCTAAGATCCCAGGGTGCTTTATGGTGTGACGTCGACGTCGAGTTCCCCCTGCGAAGAGAAGGCTGTGACAAGCGACAGTTGTCGTGACGACGGCCTGGAGGGCCGAGAATTGTGACGTCGAGTTTTCTTTTCTTCGTCTTTCTGGAGAGTTTTGCTGTCGCCTCGGGGAATAGGGCCTTCTCGCGAGCGTCTTTTGGCCAGCCCTTGGCCGTCGCTGATCCGTCTTCGGGCGGTCTTTGGCCGTCTTGGGAACGTCGGAGGGTCCTTGCGCCGTCTTTGAGCGGTCGTGGGCGGGTAAATGGCGGAACAAGCACTGGGACCACCCCAGGCGAAATCGAGTTGTGGCTGAAGATGTCTTGCGGCATGCGGTGATGTCCTACAACCAGCGTGGCGCCAAGTCGCTGGGGCCATGCCATTCAACAGGCCGGCAGTGCCATGCGATGTGCTACGGGCGCGAGCGGGTGCGTTTGGAGCGACGGCGGTGAGCGATGGAAATCCGAACCTGGGGCGGACGAGGAAACATCAGCGTTTCACCAGCCCCGCGGCCCCCGGGATGGCGCACCGAAGGGGACTGGGCTCGGCCCGCGGAGGTTGCGGGCATTTCTGGTTGGGCCGGCGGCGGTGACGGCTCGGAGTGGTCAGGCTTGGCGATTACCATCGGTGCGGTCATTTACCAGCCTCGAACGTATCCCTATCCCTCAGATTGACACACCACAAGGCGATGACAATTTTAGGGGTTCGCCTTTAAAACGTAAGGGGGCCCCTGCGATTGGCATCGTGACGAGGAGGTGCCCAGCACAGGGATAGGGATATGTTCCAGGCTGGTAGGTTACGCTGGGGTGCGGTTTGCGAGTTGTTTTGTGGCGGCCTTTGCCGGGGCGTCTGTGAGAGATGGTGCCATCACTGTCGCCGTGTCGAGCGGCACTGTCATCCTCGATGTGTGCGCTACTGTGCCAGAAGGAGCGATAGTGTCATGTGATCCGGCCGTATCGAGTGACAGTGTCATCCGTTTCCGTTCCCGGGGGCGGGAGGGGCAGATATGACGGGAGGCAAACAGCACCCTTCGCAAACCGCACCCATTGTAGCCGCCGACGCGCCCCACTGGCGACCCCTTGCCGTCCATGGACTCTCCTCGGCGCCTCGGGTCGGGGTGGACATCGCGGGGTGACGACGAACCATCCCCCCCGCACCCCCCTCGAAGGCGCCGAGGACGCCGCCGCGGTGGAGGTGCTGAGGGGAGGGCGATTCGGACAATTGTTTCGGTAAAACACGCGCGGCGACGTTGCCTTAGTCGTCGTCGTCGTTGTCTTCGTTGTCGTCGCGGTCGTCCGCGTAGATTACGACAGCGCCGACGACGACGGCGACAACGACGACAACGACGGGGGCGGGGGCGGGGCCTCCGCCAGCTTCTCGACCGCACCTCTTTCTCCTTTTCTTCCTCCTCCACCTCTTTCCTCCTCCATCCCCCCGCCTCCATCCCGCCTCTTCTCTGTGCCCTCCCTTTCTTTCCCCTCTTTTCCTGCCGGCGCCGTCATCTTACTAATGCGAGCGCTACAGAGTGGCCACCCGCGCGCGTCGTGCGTTGCACCGCCTGGCTTACATGATACGAGCACAGGCCAGTTGGAACATCCATCGGCCACATGATCACTTTAAGATCCAGGCCAGCTTCGCGACGTTTGTACTTTGGACTTTCCGGAGTAGTGCAGACCTGTCCACCAGCGCGCGTCGCGCGCTGCAGCGCCCGATCTATGAAGACGCACGTTAATTTGACAGCACGTCGATCACCGCCAGATAGGTGCGCTTGAGTTTCCATTCCAGCATGCCCATTTTTCAAGTTCGAGCGCTTTCGAACTCGCCGCGCGGCCGCGTGCGTTTTACGCCGCATCAGACCCTTAACGCATAAGACCGCTGCCAATTTGGAAATCCAATCAGTGACCGGTGAGGGCTCGCTGCAGTTCCCAGGTCAACATGCAATATGACGGTTTGTCCAACGTGCGTGCGACGAAGTTTTCTTTTCGCGCGCACGTGCGAGCGTCGTGCAACACCGCTGGGTGCACAGTCGCAAACCGCTAAATGGCTGCGATTAGTTGCCAGGGCACTGCTGCAACTTGTCCATAGTGAAGAGTTACGGGCCACCCCGGCGCGAGAACACCATAACCCATGTTCAGTTGCAAAACACACTAGCTATCGCTAGGGGGCCCTTTCTATCGTAGTATTATTTTTTCGTTGGTGACAACGCGCGACTTCCCGTGAGCGCGCGCGAAGACCACTACGTGTCAGCTACGGTGAATACTCGCCAGAACTTGCGCGGACTCGGCAACGCAAATCGGCGGTTCTTTTTTGGCTTCCCGGCCAGAATGACGACTTTTCTATCGCGGGCAGTTTTAACCTCCCACTCGCGTGCTCGTCCGTCGCAGCTGGCGCGCGGAGTGGCACCTCCCCCACCGTTGAATGCACGCGCAGGCGCCCGCGGTTGCAGGGCGCGTCTCACCGCCAAGGGCCGCGCGCGCCCCCGCTCAATGCTTGCATGATCAGAGTCTAGGGCGCGACCGCGCAGGCGGAGGGGGGCGCGGCGCCCCCCGCTCCCCGCCCCTGCCCCCCCCGCAATGCCCACGTGTTCTTGCCAGGGCGCGGCGGGGCAAGAGGGCGGGCTCGGCGCGCCCGCCCCTGCCCATCTTGTTCATGGATGGTTGGGCGCGGCAGTGCGGGGCGGCGGAGGGCGCGGCGCGCCCCGCGCGCAGCGCGGGCCGATTGCTGAGGCGCGGCGAGGCAGAGAGGAGGCGCCGCGCGCCTCTCTCCCCCCTCCGTTGCAACGCGGGCCCATCATTGGTGGGGCGCGGCGCAGTAGACGGCAGGGGGCACAGCGCCCCTCTTGCGCTGGCTTTTCCGCCGGGGCGCCGCGAGGGCGAAGAAAGATGCCCGGCGCGATCCCTTCTGCAGCGCGGGCGCGCGCGCGGTAGGGCGCGGCGGAGTTGGCGGGCGGGGGCGCGGCGAGACCCCGGCGCAACGCGGGCTTGCTCCTGCGTGGTCGCGGCGAGGCAGAGGAGAGGGCGCGGCGTGCTCTTTTCAATGCTGGCGCATTAATGGTGGGGCGCGACCGGGCGGGCGGCGGGGCCGCTGCGCGCCCCCTTGCGACGTCTGCCATCTCTTGCTGGGACGCGGCGGGGCAAAATGTTTCGCGCGGCGCGCCCGCCCTTGCAATGCTTGTGTATGAGTGGTAAGACGCGACGAAGCAGGCGCGGGGGGCGCGGCGCGCCCCCGCGGCGGGGCGAAATTCGCGGCGCGGCGCGCCCCCGTCAGCAATGCCGGCGCAGAGTCGAGCCGGCGAAAAAAGTACCACGGTGGGCTCAGGAGCGTTGGCTTCTTCATAACAGTGCGCCAGGAAGCGGGCGGAGGCGCGCGCGCCCAACCCCCGCGCGGCGCGCCCCCCCCCCGGCAATGCTGGCCGACTCCTGCCAGGGCGCGGCGAAGCAAAAGCAGAGGCGCGGCGGGCCCCCGGCAAAGGGCGGCGCGGCGCGCCCCCCTTTGCACGGCGCGGGCGCATCAAAAGGGGGGGCGCGGCGAGGCTGGCGGAGGGGGCACAGGCGCGGGCGGGCAAGAGACTCGTCGCGGCGCCCCCCCCTGCAACTCGGGCGCGTGACTAGGCGGAGCGACGAGGCAGGCGGGGGGGGGGCGCGCCGCGCCCACTCGCAACGCCCGCCAACTCCTGCCGGGACTCGGCGAGGCACAAGAAGGGAACATTGCGCGCCCCCTTTTTCAACGTCGGCTTCGGAGGGGCATGGCGCGAAGAAGCAGGCGGAGTGGGGGGCGCCGCGCGCCTCGCTGCGACGCTGGCCTTCTCATGCTAGGGCGGGACAAGGCAGGGGGGCGCGGCGCGGCGCCCACGCTATCGATGCAACGCTGGCGTGTTACTGGTAGGGCGCGACGAAGCAGGCGGAGGGGGCGCGGTGCGCCCCCTGGCAACGTCGGCTTACTCCTGCGACGGCGCGGCGAGGCAAAAGAGGAGGTGCGTCGCGCCCCCATCTGCACAGCTGGCGCGTGAATGGAGGGGCGCGACGACGCGGGCGGAGGTCGGCGCAGGCGGAAGTCAATTCTGTCCTGCTCTTGCCATGTCGCCGCGGGGAAAAAATAACCTCATGCCCGTGAGAATAAACACTAGGGGATAATAAAGTTCGGGGTTCAGGGAGAGATAGTAAAAGTAGCCCAGCAGACCTCAGCATAATCTCGAAGTAAGAGATGATCAAGAGGAGACCAAGCCGAGCACGTTTTGAGACATCCTTGGCGTTTAGTTTTCATAGAAATATCCTCAACAATGGCTTATCTCGCTGGAGACATCCTCGACAAATCCCTTGTTTCGCTTGAGACATCCGCGAACTATGACTTATTTCGCTTGAGACACAGTCAAACTATTGCTTATTTCGCTTGAGACATCCTCTAAATAATTGTGCGTTTCGCTTGTGACGTCCCTAGATAATCAACGGCGGCGATAATAAAGTTCAGGCGGGCGGAGGAATGGAGTAAGCTATATATAAAAAAGAAAAATAAAACTAATACAAAATATTATACAAGAAATGATAGGAGGAGGATAAGGAGGAAAAGAAGAAACAACCTCGAGTTTCAAATCTATTAGATTTTATTTACAAGCGCTTTTTGAAAATTGTTTTTTTTGTAAGTGCTCGTG